AAAGCGGTATCAAACTGCATTAATTCTGCAGTGTAGATGCAGCCTGGGATTCTATTTGAACCAATAAAGCTCTACTATTTGCATTGGAAATCAGGAAGGACAATGGCTGTAAAGGTGTGATAGGCAGGAAAGCTCCCCTGGAAAGGCCAATCAATGGCCAATTGGGTCATGGGAATAGACTTGTGTAAGGGCATCATCCAGTTCTCAATGCACAGCCTGGGAAAAACCATTACACAAGAAGGTAGTGCATACCACCTTTTGCAATAGCAGAAAAGGGAATCCTGTTGGGGTAACACACAGAGATAGAGTGAGTTACTAGGTGGATTCCCACCTCTATCCCTTGCCTTGACTAACAGAGACTCCGGCTGTGATGCTGGATGGCTCAGTCAGGAATGTAGACAGGATCAAGGGCCAGAGAGTAGAACAATGGCTCACCAGCGCATAGGGAGGGAGGCAAGAGGGTTGAGCACCCAGCCATTGATGGAATGAGGCCTGCATAGCACATGTCCACCCTCTCCACCCACCTCGATTAAGCTGCCACATTGGCTTCCCCTCCAGCTATTATTACTGCTTACCCATCTATGCGCATTCCACCAGGCCAGGCACATGAGCGGCGCCGGTGCTCAGCAAGCCTTTTGTCAGGGCCCAAATTATCTTGCAGCAAAGCAAAAAGGGAGAGGGATTAGGGGGTGAGGCCAGCGAGTGAATTCCTTAACTTCCATCAACAGCAGATACCCTGGATAGGCAGGCCATTAAAAGGAAGGGCTGGAATGTGGGTGTCATCGGTCAAGGCTGACATGCCTTTGCTGCGAGAGAGAGAGAGGACCAAGGCTGCACTCCTAAGGCTGCACACAGATTTCGCACAATTAAAGAACAATTATTCTTCTACCAGGAAGAAAGTCTAGCTTCAGGGGATGTCCTGGTTCAACTTTTGCATGATCGCACACATACACCAGGAAATCAGGCACTGGTTCACTTGCCAGCCTTGTTCAGATTTTAAAGGAGCATGTTCCCACTCAGCCATCCACATTATTCTGATGGATGTTCAAAGTCCTCCCCCATCGATGCAACATCACAATATAACATAATTTGAAGGACATATTGGGGTTGCCTCCAGCTAATACGAAGATCTCCTGAAAGCCGCTGGTATCAGCTGCTGATGTAAAAGTGTGACCCTCTATGTGTTGTTTGACTCCAGTTCCTATCAGCCCCAGCCACCCGTCCTTGACCAATGGTGAAGAATCATGGAAGTTGCAGTCCAGCATCATCTAGAAAGCCACACATTTCACACCGCTCTGGGAAAGGGACCACCATCATTGCTGCCACCAAAGGAAAGGAAAGGCCAATTTTTTCACAGACCATTTTTTCATGTCCCCTCCTTTCAAAGCTATACGTTCCTTTGAAGGAACTTTCAGCTCTGTCTTAAATCCTCTTGCCTGACCTCTGGACTGTTCCTCTGCAGGGAAGAATACTTGGAATTCCTAAGATTCCAGGATGTTCCTTCGAAGCTGTCTGACAAATCATGGCAGATAGAGTTCCATAATTTCCACACCCACATCTTCTTGTTAGCTGATAACGCTTGATGAGTTTGAATCCAACACACCTTCTTAGAATCAGCTTTTATCAGGGATGTCCTCCTCACTATCGGCAGCATCAGCATCTGGGATGATGATAACCAAGATTCACATCCCTGGATGTCTGGGAGGTTCTGGGTCCTGTAGTAAAAAAGATAATGAACTTTTCCAGGCTCTGGTGGACATTGATCCCTAATTAATTAATAAATTATTCCACCTTTTGCCCAACTCAGGATCCAAGGTCAATGTACAACATTTTAAAAGCACAATACATTTTTAAAAAATACAAAAGTTAAAACACAATTAAACTTAATTTCTATTTTAAAAAATACAAGTTAAAACAGTTTTAAAACAGCATTAAAATATGCTTAGAAACATAATAGAATAAAAACATTGCACCTGCACCTCATAAAAAGCTTTATCTCCCCAATACACTAAAACTCAAAAGCTTCCTTAAATTTTTTTTAAAAAAGTCTTTATAAAAGTATTTATTAAAAAAAAATGAGGGAGCCTGGTGGCGTAATAGTTAAATGCTGGTACTGCAGGCACAAGGTTGTGAGTTCGAACCCACAGGGCTCCAGGTTGACCCAGTCTTCCATGCTTTCGTAGGTCAGTAAATTAGTTCCCAGTTTGTTGGGGACAATTGGCTAAGAGAGTGTTTAGTTCGCTATGAAGCAGTAGAGAAATGTAAAGTGCTAGTGCTATTGCCAAGGAAAAAACAGCAGGGAGGGGGCCAACTGGACCTCCTGTGGTAGGGAGTTCCAGAACTTGGGAGCAGCCACCAAGAAGGCTCTTTTTTGGGTCTTCACTAGACGTGCCTGGGATGGTGGTGGGACCAAGAGAAAGCCTTTTCCTTCAGATTTTAGAGCACAGGCAGGCTCATGTAGGGAGATATAGTTCTTCAAATAGAAAGGGTCATAGGCAGCACTTTGAATTCTACCTGGAAACAAATTCTTCCTCTTGTCTCATCATTAATGGCAGTACCAATGGGCTCCTTCACACTACACAATTATAGCAATATATTCCACTGCAACTGCCATGGCTCTATCCTATGGAATCCTGTGATGGGGAGTTTGGTGAGATAATAAAAATGTTTGGCCGAGAAATCTAAGTATTACCTGAGATCCTGTAGTATAGAGGGAAGAAGGGCGTGGGAGAGAGAAGTAGGGTTAACCTACACATAGATGTATTCTGCAAATTGCTGCAGATATTCACACATGTTTGCATCAGTGCTGAATTGTCTTCACTTTCCTGTGCATATCTGCATCTATTCACACCTCTTCTCCCTCCCTCTGCCAAAAATGTGCAGCCATCCAAGACAGAGGACCACACATTTGAGAGTGCACATCCTCACAAATACTCCAGTAAAAACCATGAAGCTTTTTTTCTGGAGTTTAAGGAGTCCCCTCCACCCCACAAACTTGCATAAAGCCTCTGAATGGTGCGTGGTGGGATCACATCCTATTCAAATAGAATGAAGAATATTTTAATTGTGTAGACAAGCCCTTAGACCATGGGAGGGAGGAGTCCTAAGCAGGAGCTGCTGTATCAGAGGCAAAGTGGAACAGGCAGCCTTGCAGGATGGCAAATGTTCCTTTTGATAGAAACTGTAGCCTTGGGAGAGGGTGGACTTGATGACCTTTGAGGTCTCGCCCAACTTGATGGTTCTGATTCTGTCGAAAGCAACCATCGCGCTGAATTTCAAAATTGTTGAAGGCGAAATACCTATGGGATGTTGATGGAGTTTTGACCTGAAGAGCTGTCTTTTGGGTCTACAGCTGCCAGGATCCCCCAGCTGACACTCCCAAGTTCTGGAAGCAAAACCCTAGCTGGGAAGTACTGAATTTATGTTAGGGCGGCTGATCATTTCAACTGCCAGGGAGAAATCTAGCAGGATTGGGATTGGGAATTGCCCAAGCAGGGCTTATGTAG